GCGTCTGTTTTCCAAAAAAATTTGGCCAGTCTAGACACAGCCTTGCTGTGGCTGCCTTTTTATAAGGCTGCTGGCTAACCCTGTCTCAAAGCCTTGCTGCTAATCCAATCAGCCCTTGAAGGCCCACCTGGAACACAGCATTCCCAATTAACACTTTTCAAACTGCTGCTCTTTTCAAACCGCCAAATACACAGTCAAACAAATGCTCACAGACAGACAAACACTTGACACTGGACAGTGAACAGAGCAGCTCCCCAAAAGCCACACTTACCTGAGCTCCTCTCGGACATTTCCCAGGCAAACGCCCCTGTTGGCTGCTGCCCTAACTGGGTTGAGTTAGTTGGGATTGGTCCTGCTTTGGGCAGGGGGCTGGACTCAATTACCTCCTGAGGTCTCTTCCAGCCCTATGATTCTATGATTCTAAAATTGACCTTTGGAGCATCGATCACCTGATAAAGTATAGATGCGATCAGCATGATCCTCAGTGATCAGCTCAGTGACTTGTAAACAGCATTGCTTGTCCTGTAAGTCCAAATACTCTGGGTAAAGTGTGAGGGAACCCAGCTCTTTGTCTCCTGAAAGGGACAGGGCCGAAGGCAGAAGGGGCGAGGGCTGCCAAGAGTGCAGGCACCAGCCTGCAGGCAACCCTCAGCCCTCCTGGAGCATGGCACTGCCCCTCCAACCCTCAGAGTTGGGTGGAGTGTGTGGTGTAGTGATCTGGTGGCAATCTAAAAGGCCCGGGACTCCAGCCACTGCTGCAGCAGCAGCAATGGTGACCAAGAGCCCTGAGCCCTTTTGAATTGCTAGGACCTGAGGCAATTGCCCCCGGTACCCCTCCCTGTCAGTGGGCCTGCTGGAGAACTATCCCAATGGGACTTCTGTGACTGCATCCTGTCACGCTGAAATTTAACAAGGCAGTTCAGGAACATAAATTAAATTAGTGGAAAGAACATTAGTCATTTAATGGCAAGGCCACTAAATAGTGTGAGATGAAAGGTTTCTTGTGGGCCTTCAGTACTGCTCTTGAGAGCAATTAAAAAGGGACACATTATTCCAGCTATTGCTGACAGCTCCCTCAAGCAAATCAGAGAAAGGAGGACAAAGTTAGCCAGACAAAAAGAGAGAGAGAAAGGGAATGTATAAAAAAGGACAGCGAGGAAGAAGAGACAATGAAGAAACAACTGAATTTATAAATTAAAGACTAATTCAGCTGAGTTTAATTCAAAAGCAAGAAATGATTCTAGTTTTTTCTGGTTCCATAAAATCTTTACCCCCTTTGATTCTCCAGTATGAGTAAAAGCCCATCTCACTCAATTAATGAAACAAAATATTTAATCATTGGGAAGAAAAAAGAGCTCATTGGCAGAAACCACCTTGAGAGTGGGCTTCTGTCTGTTTAGCCTACCTTGGGTTTTATCTCTAGATGGCATCTCTTTCCAATAAACCATGCCCATTTTCAGAAGCTGTTGTGAAAATTTAGCTCTATTCCTCCAGACACTCCTTGTCTAACTTCCCGTCTTGGAAGCAAGGAAGCCTGCTTGCATGGAAGCATTTTTACAGGTGCAAAACACAAACCCGACCTCACAGAATAGTTTGAGACCATCTAGACACGATGGCTAGCAAGATTTTGCATTTCTCAGGTTTTCTCTTAATGTCCTCCTGATGTGATGGGACTATCACTGTTACCAAGTACGAGTAGACCCCTAGGTGGCTGCTAAGGCTGATCCTTCAACCACAAGTTCTACTACAGCAAGGAGAGATGTTTCTAGGTACAGCAGGAGGCTGCTGACCATGACTAGAAGCCAGTCTCTCCTTCCTCCTGTGCCTATTCTCTTCTTCATCCTATTGGCAGGCAAATTCAAAATGCAGGAGGCCATTGCGTACGAGTTTTCTCCATTTTGAGAAATCCTGAGCGAGTGTCTCCCAAGTGCAATGTCAATGTTGCACTTCTTTTAAGTTATCCTTTAGCAAGTTCTTATAATGCTTCTGTAGTTCTCCCATATTACAGTATCCTTCTTTCCACTGAGACAATAGGGCCTGGCATCCGAACGTGACCAGTCCAGTGAAATTGCTGATGGATGATCATTGCCTCAATACTGATGGTCTTTGCCTCTTCCAGAACACCGATGTTAGTGCATCTATCTTCCCACTTGATCTTCAAGATCTTGTGGAGCCAGTGTTGCTAGTACCTCTCAAGGATTTGTAAGTGATGTTTGTAGGTTGTCCAGGTTTCAGACTCATACAATAGTGTTGGTAGAATGACGGTTCGGTGCCCGTTCAAATGGTGTGATCTTCAAAAACCCTGTGCTGGAAACAAGCAAAGGCTGCACTGGGACAGCTCAGATGATGTTGGACTTCTACATCAATATCTGCCTTGGATGAAAGATAACTTCCAAAGTAGAGAAAATGATTGACATTCTCCAGTGCCTCTCCCTTAATTCTAATAGATGGGGCGTATGGTACCTCGTTTGGCGAGGGCTGGTCCAATGGTCCTAACACCAGTCATTAATGGTTATTTTATACATTGCAAGCACCCTGCGCCCCAGGAAGGATGGGGCCCCATTGTGCTAGGTGCTGTACATAACTCTATGAAAACCTACTCTCTGTTTTGGAGGGTTTACAGTCTAAGCGGGGTTCCTGCCCCAGTCAGGGCTTATTCTCTTGCATGTCCAGGCTTTGGTGCTGTGCTTAGTTCTGTACCTGGCCCTGCCACGCACCTTGCTCCTGCTTCAGCCAAAGCCCCGCCCACACCTGTGCGCGCCTCCCCTCCCCCGCGGAATGGTTTCTCCCAGGGCTGGGCTACTGCAGCGGTGGTTGTGGTTCCCCTCGCTCAGTCCCTCAGCGCCCCGACCCGTGTCAGAGCCGGTCCGAAGGGCGGCTCCGTAGATGGCCAGCTTTCCCCCGAGTGTCAACGAGAAGCTCATCGGTGAGGGGGGGCTTGGAATGGATCGCAGTGTGGCCACGAGGGGGGTGCAGCGTGTTGGGGGCCCTGGCGGGGAGGGGGAGGAGGTGG